CTGAAGGTGGCACTACAGAAGCCGTCGGGGACGCTGTCCGAGCGTGGGGCGCCGCCCCCTTGCCCGCCCAGCAGCAGCAGGAGTGTGGCGACGTGGACTGTCAGGAGCCCTCCGAAGTCCCCTGCAACTGTTTCAGGGAGCCACCCCCCGAAAGTCCAGACATCAACCAGCTGCCGCCGTCCATCCTGCTCAAGGTGGGTCTGGGCTAGAAGCGTGGGATGCTCGCTTTTTCCCACCGCTGACTTGGGCATCCCAACATTCCCCTCTCCTCCCAAGTGCAGGGCAGGGGGTCATCGGACCCTGATATGGGGAAGACGCAGGGCAGGGTGCCTTATGGACTTTTTTTTTTTTAACTCTTCAAGTAGAGAAAGTTCGTCTCAACTGAATGTGTAATAGCTCTGATCTGATATAATTCAGGGCTCAATTATTATTAGATTTTCATTACAGTACGTTCGAACCTATTGGTAGGTTTCTGTGAAATGTGCTTACAGTGTTACACTAGATGTGTAAAAACTTTTTGTTAGTATTTGAAAGTACTCAAACGTTACTTTCAGGTTTGATAACTGATGATATTAACAGTTAGCTTTTATGGAGCATTTACTGTGATCAGGCAGGATGCCAGAGCTTTATGTATATAATAGCTCATTTAACTCTCAAAAAATTAGATAAAAATTGTTATCAACCATACTTTGTCTAAGAAGAAACTGCTCTTTGAGTGCTGTGCACATGGACTTACAGTGTTCTTATCAAGGTTATAGTTTAGTGGGACTTGAAGCAGGTAAATGACTGGTCCAAGGATACTCACAAAGGAGTAGATCTAGTTTAACTAGGGTATTTAGGCGTGCAAAAAAAAAAAAACAAACCCCAAACACCCTTATTCTTGTGTTATTACTTTGTAACTCTGACCAGAAGTTAAGGACAGATATACAGGGGAACTTAAAAAAGTTAGTGGAGAAATTTTATTAACATTTGTTTCCATTTTCCCGTGAACTTTTTGAAATGCCCTTGTATGTTTTGTTGGGGTCCATGAGTGAATGGGGGAAGTTGTGTTATGTGTAAGCTCTGCTACTTTCAAGTGCTAAGTGAATCTAACAATTTTGTCAGTTGGCAACACCAATGACAAACTTTAAGTGGTCTAATTTATATTATTGCTTTAAGTTCTCATTTTCTCTCCCCTTTTGTAACTTAATAAACACAAGATTTTTTTTCTTTTTTCCCTTTATGTTTAACTAGTCATAAATAACCTTCATAAGAATTTGTCCACTTTTTTTTAACCAATGTATTTTCTTTGTGTGATAGTCATTTTTAGCATCTTTATGATCGTATGTGTCCAGATCTGTTTTACTGTGATAGTAATGTTCTGATGAATAATACAGCAAAAGAGAGGGGGACAGCTTAACTTCTCCTGTGTCAAAATGTAAGGACAGCTCTCTTTTTTTGTTGGTGTAAGCCTGTTGTCTGTTGTGTGTATTGTGTTGGTTTTTTGTTTTATATCTTATCAGTAGAGAAGTTTATTTCCTTCGTGTATGAAAGAAATCAAGAAAGAGATAATCTAGGGATGATAAAAATCTTACTGTTCTGCCATATTCTTTGGTGAACATATTATTAACACTATGCTTACCACTTAAACGATTTCTACATGTCCAGTGAATTGGCATTGGTTACATGTGTTCTTATCTTCCTGTTGTGCTCGCCACCTTTCTGAAACTTTTCGCCACTGATTCACTGTCTTGAACATAAACTCGTTGCCCCCCATAAGCCTCTTCATCTACCCTTTCTTTTCAAGTTGCTTTTGTCAGTTTGAACACATAGAACATTTAATGGATTACAATCCTTAATGCAGACATTGATTTCTAATTAAGTTAAACTATTATCTGGTTCAAAGATGACTTCAGGGGATATCTTTGCTTCAAAATGTAGAGATTTCTGTGGGTGATAATTTCCAGGAGGTCATCTGGCCTTGATGGCTGGATTGTATGGATTACTTGGCGTGAATTAAGTCATTTGTTAAAGGACAAGCATTGTATTCTCTCACTTAAATGAAATGACATTAGGGAAATGCATGAGACCAAAGTCTCTTAGTGGTTACCAGAGACAAGAGGAAGAGATAAAAGGGAGCCACCATTTGTGAAGTAGTAAATCTGTTTATGGAGAAGGGAAATCTGACATTGACTGGTGGTATAAGACCTAAGGAGGAGCCCTTTTGATGTAGTGTAGGTTACATATTAGGCTGCTAAGGGCAAGTCCAAACACAAGATCAACAGTTCAAAACCACCAATGGCTACATTGAAGAAAGATGAGGCTTTCTACTTTTGTAGAGTTAGTCTCGGAAACATGCAGGGGCAGTTCTACCCTGACCCATAGGCATCAACTTGATGGCAGTGAGTTTGGCTATTTTTTTAAGGTCAATGAACCCACAAAACTGAACCTGAAATAGGTTTAACTGTTAAAAGATGTGAGATTTTATATATATTTTATCTGCTTATCTCTCTCTCTCCATCCGCTGATAATATGGTCTACTGTCTATGTACAATTTGGCATTTCATGGGACTTTCTACCCCGATTTGGAGGATCATGATTTTATGGGACATTCCCGCCAATGGGCCTAATATTGCTCTTGGTGTTCCCATTGTACCTCTGAGTTTGTTGTGAAGTTCCTCGGGTCTTGAAAGTCTGTGGGTGGTCATCGCAGACACAAAAAAAAGACTCTATTTGCTGCTGGGAGCACCAGAGGAAGGAGGAGGATGAAGGGATGGGGAGAGGAACTGGAATATGTGTCCGGTGACTTCCATGAACAACTGTGTAAGTTACTGTGAGACCAGAGGAGCTGGATGGTCGTGCCTGACTGTCATCACTGACCATTTAGTTTAAGTATTCTAAAGAAGAATCCTGATCAAAAAGGAGAAATAAGCAACAGAACTTCATAATTTCAGGTGGATTTTAGGGCAGAGAGCCTACTTCCTATAGTTCTTTAAACCAGTGCATAGTGTGAACAACTGTCAACAAATATTTTGGTACAGATATTAGATTGCTATCATTTTTATGTAGCCAAGAACACTGTTGAAAAACAAACCAAAATAATAATCATCACTTTCTATTTAAATCATTACATAATAAGGTATATGGCAGTTTAATTTTAGAAGAGGACTTATAACAAAGAAAATACCTAGGAATTTTGCTTCATCTGCCACAATGTTGCCTTTCACTTTTTTTTTGGCTGTGGTCAGCTGCAAACTGGGTTTAAAATAATTACTTGTTGGACTCCCTTCTTGTGTTGGAGTATTGGCCTGTCTACATTCCTTGTGCTAGGGATTTGAATAAAGATCCTGGACTGGCCTCCAGGTATTCAGAATGGAGTCAACTGGGCTACCCTGGTTAAATTGAAATTGAGATTTGTGTGCGCGTGTGTGTGCTGTGCGGTAAGCACTGGGCTGCTCACCACAGAATTGGCTGTTCAAAATCACCAGCTGGTAGACCAGAGATTGATGAGCCTGTCTGCCTTGGAACCCCTATGTAGGGTTGTTATGAGGTGGAATAGGCTACATAGTAGTGAGTCTTGGTTTGGCTCCAATCCAAGTAGAATTTAGGGGGATAAACTTTTGCGGGTAGAGGCTGTGCCAGCATGTCTTGTTCACTGTTGGTATCCCCTTGTCTGCGTGCATTGCCTGACTTGCAGTAGCATTCCACAAATACTTATGAAAGAATGAATAAGTGTTGAGGAAGTTTGGACTAAGACTTGGTGAAGATTTCATGCCACTAAGGGAAGTCTAAAAAAAAAAGTTCATATCCTGACTTTAGTTATTGTTGTCTTGGGCCACAAAAGAGCCTTGTGATGGCAAAAGGGTTCTGGCCCAGCTTTGGTCAGAATGGGAGGTGTTTGCCTTGGAAAAGAGGACTCAGGCAGCTATGGCAGTTTAAAAACTTGTTGCATAGAGACGTACAAATCTATCAGCCCTGTAAGGAAACCTTTTGGGGAAGTATGCCCTACTTCCCTCGTGACAGACCAATATAGCCTTTAGGGTTGTTTTGTTTCATCTCTTGTATCAAGTTACAATAGTTGTAAAGAAGAGTATGGGGAGCACAGTAGTTTGGAGGAGAAATATGAAGAAATGTGATATAAAGTATGCCTTGGAAGAAAGCTACCACATTTGCCCATTTCCTCCCCCAAATATGATAAAAACAGAAGAGACAAAAACGAAGCATTTTTTCGTGTATTGTTTCCTGGGGACAGTGGTGGTTCAGTTGCTGTTAGCCTCTTTCCTCCCGTGCCAGAGATTCAGGTTTTAATCCCTGCCAGTGCACCTAAGGCTCAGCCACCCCGCCCATCAGTCAGTGGTGACTGGCAGGCTTGCGCACTACTGCGATGCTAAAGGCTTCATTGGAGCTTCCGCCCTAAGGCAGAATAGGAAAAAGACCTGGTGATCTACTTTCAAAAATCAGCCAATGAAAATCCTGTGGACCATAATGGTCTAATCCTACTGTGTATGGGTCCTATGAATCAGGGGCTACCCCAGTGGCCAACCTAATAGCTAACAACAACACACCATAGGTAGATTTTGGGTCAATGTCTGCAAGGCCTTTTTAATTTAAATTTTGTATAAATAATAATAAGTATTTTCTTGCTTCAACTCACAAATAATACAAGTAAAACAAAAATTTGCCCTGGTCATCCTCACCTCTGACCACAGCTTCCTCTCCAGAGGTAATCAGTTTGTGCTACCCAGTATGGGAACTGCTAGCCACATGTGGCTGTTTAAATGTAAAGTAATTGAAATGAAATAAAATTTAAAACTCTGTTTTTCAGCCACATATATTGGAGCTTAATAGTCATATGGAACTAGTTGATATTGTACCAGACAACACAGATCTAAATGTTCTGACACTGAAAGTTTTTTTTTAAAGGTGGAATTAAAATATACATGTTTTGTAACTTCAAAAGACTTACTGTGACTTAGAAGTCTTTCCTTTTTAGTGAGTATACCTTTTCCTTCACTTTCAAACTGCTTCATAGTATCCTAAAGTATACCATACCAAACATTTCTCTATTAATGAATATTATCAGTTTTTGCTGCTACAGATAACACTTAAACATGTTTCCGATGCATACAGCATGTATTTCTAGGGTAGGCATCAAGAAGTGAAATTTCAGTTTTGAAAAGTCCATGTATATTTGAAAATTTAGAATGTCCTTTCA